TTTAGAGGAATTGGAAGTCATCATCAACATGCATATGCCTAGGTAAAGATTATGAATATTTATCCTCATCCTATTTATAAAGTATTTCATTTATTTTTTGTGTTATTTTAAAAATTCTTATATTATTTTAATTGTTAAAAAATTTCAATTTTTCAATGATATCCTTATTAATTAAAAAATAAGATTGATCACTTTAATATTTATGAAAATACTTGTTTAAGTTAAATAATAAAACTAGAAGATTATTTTTTTTTTGACACTTTATGATTACAATTAGAATAGAATTAGTTTTTATTTTTTTCGATAAACTACCTGATAAATAAGGCTAGAGTAGCATAATAGAATAAGTGATGATGATGTTCACCCAAAAAAAAAGAATAAGTGATGATGATGATGTTGATTAAGGTTACTACTTGAAAGGAAAGCACACTTAAGAGGGGATCAAATCAATTGATTAAGATGAACATAGGGAATGTGATCATTGTCAAGCGTTTGGTTTAGCTAGCAAGGGAATTATACTAATTTAATTAATTTCACAGGTCTTGAGTTTGAATAGCGGGAATATATTTAGTACATAAGCTTTCAATTAAAATGATCCGAACCTGGATTAATTTGAATTAATCAGAGTTGTGGCTTTTGAATACATAATACTAATATACCTAGACTGTAATATATGTCATTTTTTAAAAACTTTACTTGATATAAAATATAGGATATTAGATAAATTGTATATTTATATATATATATATATTTTAATTTTACTCTTATTTTATTATACTCTACTCAAGTACTAATGAAGTGATTTGAATTAGTCAAATATTTATATTTAATTTTATTTAAATATATAATTGGAGAGATGTGAAAAATTTTAAAAAAATCAACATGTAAATACATTTTTGTTAAAAAACACAAATTTGTTGAAATAACTTGGTGAAAAAAGGAAAGGTATATGTGGTGGGGAAATATGAAGAGTGGGGAGTGGGGGTGGGGGAGTGAGGAGGAGGGTGGAAGGACATAATGGGAAGGTGGGCGAAAGTGGGTTTGAACGTAATGATTACGCTCTTAATGGCGCGTCATAAATGTTCCCCCATCGATAAATAACTGCGCAGCCTTCCAGCCGCCATTCCCACTTTCTTTTTCCTTTCACCTCTTCCACAACTTTCCCCTTTTTCCTCTTTTATTTATTAAATATTCATAATTCACTCCCCCCATCAACACTAATTTCCAATTTCATCCCACACTTCACACTTCTACTCCATTCGGTTCCTCTTATTCACTTTTTCACCAATTTCAGGCATATTCCTGTAATTGACAGCTAAAATGTGTTCTTGGTTAGAGCTGATATATCACATATTTAACTGATCACAGCAGATGAGCCTCGCACCCATGTGTTTTAAAATTTAAATAATAACTTAAAAATATAATTAATAGTATATTACTGTAGTGACTGCATCATCCAACTGCATTTTAAGTAACGTGTTTAATAAATTTATGTTATAAGAGTAAATAATAGTAAAGTTTAAAAAATGATAATTTAAAATTTTTTAAAAACATACATAATAAAACAAGAATTTTGTCAAGAGAAAATGACAATAAAATACCTCTGAAATGTATAAATAATAATTTGATCTCTTAAAATATCATAATTTTCTTGAGGTTTTTAGAGACTTTTCTATCATTAATGAATTTATATAAATTATGAAATTATCTTCGTTAAAAATAAATAATTCACTAGTTTTATTTAAATATTCACAACTTTTCTTCTTATATTCACAACAATACAATAGCAAATAATGAATTAACATGCGAAGTTGTGATTTACTATTATATTATTGTGAATATAAAAAAAAGTTATGAATATTTAAACAAAACTTGTGAATCATTTATTTTTAACAAGGATAATTTAATAATTTACATAAATTTATTAAAAATAGAAAAGTCCTTAGAAATTTCAGAAAATTATTATATTTTGAAGGATCAAATTATTATTTATATATTTTAAAAAAATTTTATTGTTATTTTCTCTTTTGTTAACTGTGGGAGTAAATTTTTAATTTTTATAAATATTGATTAATTTTACTAGTATAACTTTTTCAACTTCATTATAATTTTTAAGAATGTTTAATATTTTTTTGAAGTTTTGAAATATTATGAATATTAATTTTATTAATTTAAACACAATAATATTAATTGCAAAATAAAAAAAGAAGTCACATATATTTGATTTTGGGGCAGTCCGGGGGCTCCTCCCCTTGTTTCATCAATCAATATATATTGTAAAGCACGTTAAAGCACTGTAGATATACAGTGTTTTGAACAGTGCCTTTCTCTTCTTCTTTTTATTTTTTTAAATTAGTTAGTGAAAAATTTTGTTAAAATATACATACATACATACATACATACATATATAGTGTGGAATCCATAATAAAAAAAAAAGTATCTATCATTAAAATTGTAGGTGTAGGGCCTAGATTTATAAATTTTAAAAATTTAAACAAAATATGAAAAATAATAAAATTTTTATATTTTAAAAAATTATATAATGGTATTTTACTATATATATATATATATATTGATATATCAAGAACGATATTTCACTCTAACAAATGTCAATTAATGATTAAATGAATGTAAATGAAAACTTAAAAATAAAAAATATGTTATGCATTTTGTGATTTTTAAAATAAGAAAGAAAGTAATATATTTTATTTTAAAAATACTAAAATAAATTTTTAATATTTATTTTTATTTTTATTTTTATTTTTTAAAATTAAAACATTTCTGTGCATCGTAAGGGGTATAAGTCTAGTTTTTTATGATGCTATAAGACTTGTTCAAAGTAAAAACTCTTTACCAAGCGATTTTTGGTCTAACTCATTAAAGAAATTGAAACAACTTATTTTTAATGTAGTTCAAAATAATATCCTTAATCGAGGGACTAGTTTGACTACTCAGGGAGCGCTATTCGCTAAACAGCTAATTAAACGGCCAGTCCATGACAATCTTAGAGCTCTCTTGCTGACTCTTAAGAAAGTACTTATCCTTAATATATCATCATGGACTCCTACTTAGTCGCTTGGCAACTACAACAGAAGTACATTATATTAACAAGGTGCTAAAATTTTCAGTTATGGTGATAAATCTTAAGGAATTCAGGGGAAAACATATACCATTTGATAGAATTAAAATTAAAATTAAAATTGATATTGAAATAGAATTAAGTTTTAAAAGTATGTTTAGTATGAATATGTAATTTTAATATAATTTTAATTGAAAAAAATTAATTATTTAATCTTTATAATTTTAATTCGATTATAAATCAGTATCTAAACTTTGGCTTTTACAATTTACTCCCTAAAATTTTAATTTCTTAAATATTAGTATCTTTATTTTAAAAAATAAAATTATAAAGATTAAAAATAATTTAAAATTTTAATATTTATAATGTTCATAAAGATTAAAAGGTTTTAGTAATTTAAAATATTGGTAACAAATTTTAAAATATTTTTAATCTTTATAATTTTATTTTTTAAAATATAGGGATCAATATTTAAGAGGTTGAAACTTCATGAACTAAATTACAAGAGGTAAAGTTCAGAGACTAATTTACAACTAAGTCAAAACCTCAAAAATTGAGCTATAATGAGTTAAAGTTTAATAATTAAAATATAGCCAAGTTAATACTATAATGACTAAATGATTAATTTTTTTAATTAATATATGTATTTAAAATAAGAAAAGATCAAATTGTCATTTTTTTCTTTCAAAACTAAAAAGACCACTCTCATCATAAATAGACAAAAAAAATAAATTTAGCGGAGTTCCCAAAATGAATTCAAAAAAATTAAAACAATTACATGATCAATACGATCAAATTAAATTTTAATATTTTTATTAAAATTAAAATTTTTAAGAATTATAACTCTTACATATCATATATATTTAAATTAAAATTTTATTTGTAATTTTATTTTTATTTTATTAATTTAATGATATCAAACATGATGATATTGATCACAAGCTTTCTTGCATTTTTCACAGGTGAACGTCTTCACGTGAAATTGTGACAGTCTTTGATATGTCGCTCATTCTATAGTATTTTTATCCACATTTTCTTCTATTTGGACCAAACATCTGACACATCAGCCCATGCAATCACAGGGGTTCAAATAGAAAATTGAGAAAACGATAGTTGACTCTGAAGCAGTTAATGATAGTTAGGTAAAATTATTTATAAATATTGATTTAAATAGTTATAAATTTAAAAGTTTTAACTATAAATATAATTTTTTTAATTTTTTAATTTTAAATATAATAATTAGTTTGTAATTTAAAATTTTATTTGTAATTATTTAAGTTGATATTTATAATTTATTTTATAAAATTTTTTATTGAAAACTTAAGTCTTATCAATTTATTTTTTTTCAAGATTTTACTGTCATTCTTCATAGAAAATTATTGGAAAAATATACAGGGGGATTTACCATTTACAAATTACAAAATTAATTAAAACATTGCAGTAAGGACTAACAGCAAAACTCAGGTAAATTGTGAGATTGAATTAAAAATAATCAATAATATCAGCAAGTAAAACTCGAAATCATTATTGTCATTTTTTTCCAGAAAGCAATTATAAAGAACGGGACAGAGAGATGACAGATTCTCGCGCCGCGAGGACCGAGGGGTAGAGAGAGATAAAGACATTTAAAAAAATTAAAAAGCCATAAAAGGCCCGAAGCTCAGGTATATATAAAGCCCCCATGATAGGATTTTGATGTAGGCAATAATGATCCATAACTCTTTAGCTATCCAAAAATAAAAAACCTCAAAACGGCTCGCTCTAGCTATCTCTCCCTTCATATCAAATAATCGAAACCCATTCCATTTTTCTATCCTCAGTCTGGTTGTCATATTCTGTTCAGGCTCGCCGATACAACGCGATCGCACCCTGCTTCTGGTACTTCGATGCGTGAGCTTACGTTTCTTGCTTCTGCCACACGCTAAGCAGTGTCATCAGCAACCAGTATTTTTAAAAAAAAAAATTTCTCAAATCTGCTCATTCATACTGTCATACAGTCACAGAACTCCCTCTTCGGTTCTTGTCTACATTAAGCCTGGTTTCCCCTGCTTTCCATCTTTCAGCCCACTTCAATCCTCTCTCTCCGTCACGTCGCTATCAGTTTCTGGGAAGATAATAGAACGGCTGTGAGATTGTCAGAGAAGCAATATGGGAGAAGAGTACGGTAGGGTAGTGGCAGTGAGAGAGTTCGACCCCAATAAAGACAGAGATAGAGTGGAAGCAGTAGAAAGAATATGTGAAGTTGGACCCAGTGGAAAGCTTTCCCTCTTCACCGACCTCCTCGGCGACCCAATTTGCAGGGTCCGCCACTCACCTGCGTTCCGCATGCTGGTATATATATATATAATTTAATTTAATTTTATAGTTCACCCAATAATGCCTCCTCTGTTCCTGTTCCATCTCCTTTCCTTGATCACTTCGAGTCCCACTTTTTCTCATTGATCGAATATGATGTGCTGTGATGTTGTGACTGATTCATCCTGTTCCTACTTCGTGGCATCAACAGGTGGCTGAGATAGGCCAAGAGATCGTCGGAATGATAAGGGGTTGCATCAAAACCGTCACATGCGGGAAGAAGCTCTCCAGAAATGGAAACAACAGTCATTTCATTGAACCCGTACCTGTATACACCAAACTCGCCTACATCTTAGGCCTTCGCGTCTCGCCTTCTTACCGGTAAATTACCGATTCTCTCCACTGATCACTCATCAAATCAAAATTTCGTATTCGGTACTTGGAAGAATTAACTACACAGTCGTACTAAATTGATGATGGTGGAGGCGGTTTCGACGACGGAATTAACGCGTGAAAGTTTCTGTGTACAGGAGAATGGGAATAGGGTTGAAGCTGGTGAATACAATGGAGGAATGGTTCAGAGACAATGGAGCTGAATACTCGTACATAGCAACAGAAAAGGACAATTTGGCGTCCTTGATGCTCTTCACCAACAAATGCGGATACTCCAAGTTCCGTACACCGTCCATCCTCGTCAACCCCGTTTTCGCTCATCGGATCAGTCTCTCTCAGAAAATCACTATCATCCAGCTCGACCCCTCCGATGCCGAGCGCCTCTATCGTCGCTGCTTCGCCACCACTGAGTTCTTCCCGCGCGACATTCGCTCCATCCTCAACAACAAACTCACCCTCGGCACCTTCATCGCCGTCCCAAGCGGGTCTTTTAGTCCAGACACTTGGCCCGGGTCGGACTTATTCCTCTCGGACCCACCCGAATCATGGGCGGTTATCAGCGTCTGGAACTGTAAGGAAGTGTTCACGCTGGAGGTCCGGGGCGCGTCGCTCGTGAAGCGCACTCTTGCCAAAATGACGCGGATTGTGGACCGGGCATTGCCGTTTCTGCAGCTGCCATCGATTCCGAATTTTTTCAGGCCGTTCGGGTTTCACTTAATGTACGGATTAGGAGGGGAAGGACCTGAGGCGGCGAAGATGGTGAAGGCTTTGTGCGGGCACGCGCACAACCTCGCGAAACAGCGTGGGTGTGGAGCGGTGGTGACGGAGGTTTCGTGCTGCGAACCATTGAAGTTAGGGATTCCGCACTGGAAGATGCTATCATGCGCCGAGGATTTATGGTGTATCAAGAGGCTCGGGGAAGACTATAGTGACGGCTCTGTCGGCGACTGGACAAAATCTTATCCTGGATTGTCCATTTTTGTTGATCCCAGAGAATTCTAATTCTAGTTCTCCAATCCAAAAAACGAGGGAAACAAGAGCTACGAAGTGTAATGAAAGCGCATGTCGTTTTGCTTCTTTTAGGTTGGCTGTTCAGTCTCCTGCTTTTCCGCGAGATTTTCTCGGGGGAACGACTTTGAGTTTGACGGTGGAAAAGAAAAGCAGAGAATGAAGACGGAGGCGTGGATTTTTGTCATTGTAAAGTTAAAAAGAATATCCTCAAGCCTCTGTAATTTGAAATTAGCTTTTGTGTAAATGGAGGTGGCTTTCTTTTTGGATCCCCTCGAAGCCAAACGCAACCTTTAGCCTCCGGTGTCCTGTATTTGCCTGTATCATCTTTTGGGACTTCCCTCGTTATTCCAAAATCTAATCATATGGAATTGTCTAATCTGTATAATGGGACTTGGACCTTGTGAGAGTGTTCCCAGCGTGAATCAGAATATCCAATTGGGTATTTGAAATGTGCAACACGGATGGTAGCGAAGGATTCGAGCCTCTTAATTATCATTCCAAAATTTAATTTTTAGGAGTGTTTATAAAAAATATTATTTAAAAGAGATAATCTCTTGAATAATTTTTAGATTGTTTTTGAGGAATTAATTTTGAATCATTACCGGGAATAAAAAAATTGTATTTAATAATGTGAATGGGTGTGGATAATTGTGTATTTGATAATAATGTGAATGCGTGTGGGTACAGGTGGGGGACCTAGGACCTTATCCTACTATGCTTTGTTCGATAGGGTTCCTCGTATCTTGCTTATTGAAGGCAGTGGGAATCAGATGACATGGTGGCCATTATTAAGTCCAAATGTTCATCCCTTAATTTACTATTATATTCAGAGAACCTAGAGCAGAGATTCATGGTGGGACATCTCTCTCTCTCTCTCTCTCTCTCTCAAACTTTCTATTTTGGAGCAATTGGCTCTCTGTGCAAGATGGAGATTGCTGTGCCAATTAATGGAGAGAGAGGCTGTGTTTATAGCTTGGCTCGCGTTGACCTCCTGAAGGACTTTGTAGTTAAAATATGAGAAGGCACGTTTCCGAATAAGGACGTACAGAAAAGTAGGAAACAGCCTAACGCATGCATATTATTTTACAATGTTGATGTTGGTATTCTAAATTAAACCAGGCAGCCTTGGTGGGACCTTCCATCGGGTTTAGTTTCCGAAGCAAGTTGGCGCGAGATATGGTTTTAAATATATTACTACAAGAGTTCAACCGTCAAATAATTACTCTCACAAGTCACACGTAACATTAGTAAGTTCTTTCTTGGTCAGTCAAATCATTGCAAGATCCAAGCTCTTCTTAGGTGCTAATATAATAAAACTGATTGAATTACCAAGTGGTAGGTTCAGTTCAATTCAAGGTTGCTACCTACCTGCAAAAGTTAATTATACCAGCTTTCACTCCGATTGTCCCCAAGCCTCGCAGGCGCCATCATTGAAAACACTAAAGTATGCGGGAAAATACTCTTAGATCCCACCTAAGGAATTTGCATACAGAGAAATTCTTGATTTACTAAAGCTGTCAATGATGTATATTTATTAGTAGAATTGTTCAGTTAATAGCTAAGCAGCAATAATTGAGAACTTCACTAAATGACACGTGGTTTTAGAATAATTTTATGATTTCAAGAAAATCTTTGTAGGGGGAATTGAAAGTGATTTTTCCAAAACATGATGAAAATATAATTGTAATAAAGGGAAATGTTAATGAATAATAATGATGTAGGGTGAATTGGGGGAGGGGAGGGAATGAGATTCCAAATCTGCTTTTGTAGCAGCAAAATTAATGGTGTGGGATAGCAGTAAAGAGGAGGATATGTGAATTGGATGGATATAATGAGCTGAAGAAGTTGTTGGGAGAAATATGAGAGGCATGACACGACTGGGCATGCCTGTCTGTGTACCATAATAAGATACGATTCGATTATTGTTGTAAGGGAAATAATCGAAGACCAAGTATCAACTAAATTTGAATCTAACCAAAAGAACCAGTCCTCCCGGGGACAAATTAAAATCCCAAATCTCTTTTATAAGAGATCGATGTCCCTATTCAATTACAGGAGAGTAGGTGTTAGGCAAGGCTGGAGCACGCTGCGGCTAAGCCTATATATGGTGATTACTAAGTAATTGACAAATCTCTTAGGTGTGGAAACCTCACTTTCCAGCTTCATAATGTGGAGATTATACTAATCGAATTGGGAGCTCCAGATAGGGATTGCCGCGCAATCTACACTAATTAACAACTATTCTATTATGACAGCTACAAAAAAAAAAAAATCGTCTTAAATTAAGATTTAGTTGAAGGGTTTTTTTTTTAAAAAAAAAATTTAGCCCTAAATATAGAACCTCAATTTTTCTTGAGTCCTTCTAATATTTATTCCACATGATCCTCATAAATTTTTCCATGTTTTTTTTTTCACGTGCTTTCTCTCACACATTTGATCTTATTGAAAAAAAAAAAGATATTTTAGAAAAAGTTTTACGTTTTTAATATAATAACAATAGCAGCAGCAAACTTAACTAATTTTCTTAATTTTCGTGAATTAATTAATTATGTCTCATATCGTTAAGGGATTTTACCTTTATTTTATTATAAGTGATCTATGTTCTTTGTTCACCTGTACCATAAATAAGATCAATCTATGCTATATCCGCGGATAACGTACTCTTAATCCCGCCAAAATATTATGGGATTTTACCCTAATCTTGTTAAAACGTTATTCATATTTTTTTGTATGAACATTTATTATCTGGCTTGTGATGGATATGAGAATATTAATTAACTGTACAAGTAAGAATAGCTATTATACCATCATTTTTTTTTTGTAGCCACAAGATTTGAATTTTTATTAAGGAAATCATATCTATTTCATAAAATCCAATCAACATTGGTATTATCCATAGTTTTTGCCATTAACTTAAATGAACTCAATTAGCACTATCATTTTTGGAGAAGAATTATGATTTCTTAAAAGATATACAATATTTATTTCATTTTTTATTTTTATTTACAAAAGTATTTCGTATTTAATTTTTGTTAACATTATTCAATTTCATGGATTAATAAATACTGACTCCATTATCTAATATAAGTAATAAAATGGGAGAAACTTTTGTTACTAAATATAAATAATATTACAAACTTTCATGAATATTTAACGGGATGCTTGCAAAAATAGTTCTCATAATTATCCACTTCAACTGTCCATTTTTTCTTTCCTATGCTTCGTCCCAGATTATAAGATACTTTTAAATAAAATCTCACATATCAATAAACCTCATTAAATATATTTAACAATCTTATCTTAAAAAAAAATATAAACTTTTCAAAATACTTATCATTTAATATATTGAAAAGAGAAGTAATAGAAATTAATTATAGAGAGAGAAAGGATAATATTGAAATTAATACATTTAATGAAACCTTACTATACTCAATTTGTTCTATATTTTGGGGTGAAATAACTTTTTCAAAAGTATCTTATAATTTGAGATGGAGAAAGTATTATATCTTTTATTGCCAAGCTATCCTATACTCTATATTTATTGGGCCCAAAATAGTAAAGATATTTTATTTTAAACACAAACCAATTTCTTAATTAATAACCATATATGCTTAACCTCATCTATTGCTTATATTGGGCAAATGAGGGGTGGAATTTGAATGAATGTGACTTGGCGAAGCAAAGCCTATTTCGCTGGTTTGATCATGTGGACAATGATGACAAATGGCATCTTCATATTCCGTCTTGGAATTTGATTACCTTATTTTCAAATCAGGAGTTAATTAACAAGTGAGATTATCTTTAAGCAATTCTCGTATCTCTTTGAGGGGGAAAAATCTCTCTCTTTTCTTCATCTATAAAGTGGGATTAGACGTGTGTCCATCGTTGTCGGGAAGTTTAGGTGACAAGATCACTAATTAACATTATCCTTTCATAAGGTCCACCAGATTTGAATGGCCTTTATCTAAAAATCATGTTTGTCTCTAGTACATATACTATATAATGAAAAGCAATTAGAAATAACCCTACATTGACTAACTTGTTTAGGTGTCCTAATCAAGTAATTAAATCAAGGTCAATTGAATTATTTCAAGCAATTATGTGAATCACAATGTGCAGGTGGGCTGAGGCCTGGCTTCAGCCACGTATACGTTCAAAGAAAATATGGCTCAAAGTCTATATCAGCCTTAAAACCTGGGCTTGTTTTAGTTGGACTCAGAGAACAGTGCAAATATATATATTTATACATATGAAGCCCAACTTGGATCTTAAAATGGAATGGTAGCCCTCAAATAGGAGATAACATGCATGCTCTTGATAACAAGATCCATGTGATATACCCATTTGAGTCCGAGTTCTTTGTATTATGGAGATTTTTCTGTATGGACTTTTAATATACTGCAGATGTCTGTATTATTAAGAGTCTACCATGCTAGTACTACTAGCTGATTTGATGATTCAAAATTTAAATTCTGGCATATAAAACGTGGTGGCTTTTTGAGGCTTGCAAGATTCTTATGAATTTAGATGCATACACCTGGAAACACTTCTATTTCAGTACAGCAAAATTTTAGAGTCCATGCCTATTCTCTGAGCAAGTGATACAGCAACAATCCACCCAGAATATAATTTAATTTCTTGTTGCCAATATTGCTCAGAATTTCATGGAAGAAGCAGCTTGGAAGATGTCAGCAAAGCTCATAGCTCCCTAGTCCTAATGCTGCAAAACATGTTCTAAGACATTGATTGTCTGCCGCTTGTAGATGGGGTAGATTTTGTTTCCTCCATGACTGTAGAAGTAGGGCTCTCTGAAGTATCAGAGCTAGTAATCTCACCATTTCTTTCCCTGCTTGACCAAATCTTAGAGATTATCTTCTTTGACATGAGCAATCCTTTCATCTTACTAGCTGCTAGTTTATCAGCATTTCCTTTTCCACCACCATCGTTGCTGCTGCTTCTGTCACTGCCATGTGATAATTTTAGTGTAGCAAGTTGGCCTTTAAGAGCATCCCATTCTTCTTCTGTATTGGTTGTGGTAGATCTTGAGCTGCCATGAGACCCGTCAGGAAGCGAGTTCCTAGTACACTTTGGAGCATCCAATGTTGCGGTCCCACCAGATGATTTTGTGGCTCTAAGCTGCTCAAAGAAGAGAACTTGCACAACTGCTCTCAAGGGAAGCCTCTCATTCTGCACAGCATGCATGCAGGCTTCTGCTGACAACTTCTTGCAATCCATTAACCGGCATATTCTTTTCCTCTCACTCTTGTTGATTTTGGGGTGTTCCTGCATTGCATAACACAATCAGGCTGAGAAACTTGAACAATTATCTTGCTAGAAATGGACATCA